GCTAAAATATGCATAATAGACGAAATTTTAGAACATTCTAATGGTTGCTATTAGATGATGACCGCCTATTTGAAACACATGCTAAACGAAATGTTGGCTCGAGATTTAATTCTTAAGTTTTTTTTTAATTATTATTATCCCTGTTCAAATACATGTTGGAAGTTGTTTCGATACTTTGGAATGCTAGTTTTAAACACCTATCTATGCTTCTCTGTTTCCTGTTGCCTGTCCCCGATCGAAGTGTATGTATACTGGATGTAAATTTTGGGGAATCTGATTCTTAGTGACTTGGTTTTGGCTCTTTGAAGTTGGATCCTTGCTGCAAATATTCTCAGTTTTCTTTTGGCCCATTTAAAGGTTCATGCTGAAAATCTTCTATGTTTTGGCCCATTCGGTGGAGTCTGGTTCAGCTTCTTCCTGGTGGTTTGGCTTAACCTTTATGTTGAGTTTAGCTTTTGCCTTTCGATAGTTCAATCTGACCCTCTTATCTTGGGGCTTGGTTTAGCCTCTATGCTACTTGGTTTTTGTCCTCCTTGCTGCCCCTTGTTCGAATACATGCTGGAAATCATTTTTATGGCTTGAAAAATATGTTTGGGACTCGGTTTTTGTCCTCCTTGCTGCCCCTTATTCGAATACTTGCTGGAAATCATTTTTATGGCTTGAAAAATATGTTTGGGACTCGATCTTGCCTCTTTTTGCTGCCCCTCTGCATGAAATACATATACATGTCATTCATTTTATCTTAGGGACTTCGAAGAGCTTGTTTTGGGGCTGGGTTGTTCTCTTTTTTGTTCCTACCCGTGAGCCTCTATGATATTTCTTGTCCTTACCCGCGGGCTTAAATATTGTGGTGGCTGCTCTCTTGCTGCCCTTATTCGTAAGTTTGGGTTGGGTTTCAATTGGCTTTCTCTTTAGCCTTATTCATGGGTTTATTGTGTGTTGGCTTTCTCCTTTTTGGCCTTACTCGAGAACCTACTGTTGGGATTTACTTTTTTTTGCTGTTTTTGCCTGTGGGCTTGATGTAAGGTTTGGCCACCCCCCTTTCTTTTGGCTTTACCCGTGAGCCTCTGCCCTCTTTCTTTTCTCTACTTGTGAGCATGTTGAAGGTTTATTTGGGCTTTGTTTGTCTTCCTTAATGTATCTAGCTGTAAGCATTTCTTTATTCCTGAAATTGGTATTATTTCTATGCAAGTCTGAAAAGCTTTTAATGAGGATTGGAATTGAAGGGCTTTGATAATGACATGATTTTTGGAAGTATAGAAAGATGCTCTCTATGAATTGTTCTCCTATATTTTATGAAATGTAAAAGGCTCTTGGAGCTTCATTTTGGGATTAATATCAAATTGGATTCATAAAGGATTTGAAAGATTATAAAATTGTCATTCATTAAAAGAGTTTTTGGAAGTTCGATGATAAGGTTTGGATAACATAAATGCTACATTCGAGTTCAGGCTTGGGTGTTTGAGCTTAAATATTGTGATGGCTTTCTCCTTAGCCCCCACCCGTAAGCTTGAGGGTGGTGGTTTTCTTCTTGTTGCCTTGGCCGTAAGTCTTGCTTTGTGCTTACTTCCCTTTGTAGCCTCCCTCCTGTTACCCTTACCTATGGGCACAGTCTTTGCATTAATTTTGGGTCCGTTTCAACCTGATCGAAACGAAATTTGGGAAAGGATACCTTTCTTAGGTTGATCCATTTACAATGTGAGAAAATGATATCCTTTTTGGATTGATTCAAGGATCATGAGCCCTCATTTTCAGGTCTTTTCATTATAAGTTTTGAGGGCTAATTCACCCTTCGACTTTCTCAATCTTTTGGGTAAATCTTTTCCTCCGCTCTCTCATCCCCATTTTTTGTTCTTTTTTTTCTTGCTTCTTGGTTCGGTTTTCTAATGCTTATGTCTGATGCATAAGTGCTTATGTATAGTGTTTTGCTATATGTGAAACCATCAAGCAAGATCGCAAGTAGGTCGGGTTTTGTTTTGGGCTCAGGGCGATGATGACAAATGCACGCTGGTGGTAGAGCAGAATGATATCTCATTCTACAACATCAGGACTCAATTCTGAACCTGATGAAATGTAGGATGAAAGTATCATTCACCGACATAAGACTAGAGGAGGACCCATACTTTCTTAGGCTGTTGGTAGTCCTAGGCTCGATGACGTGATCGGCTTGTGGACAACTATTTATTTTTCAAAATTAATAAAACTAATTGATAAGGATAGATACAATATTTATAAAAATATTTTCATTATAAAAATCAAAATTAAAATAATTTTCCTTTTGAATGCTTGAAATACATATGCATGTTAAAAATTAAATTTTAAAGATGTGTCACAAATTGGGTTGTCCACTTGTTGATTACCAATCCTGGGCTAAGGAATACCCTCTTAAGTTAGGTTCAGTAGGACATCCTTTTAGTAAAGTGTCGGGTTTTACACATCCGGGTGTCCGAGTAGCCTTCGATGACCCTCGAGTACAAATATATATTTGAGCCTAGCCTTGACCCGAGTGCTTGCGGTCCCCTCTTTTTGGATTTTTTTCGTATGTTTTCTTGGAATTTTGGACAAAACACTCCTGGTCTTTTCTTCAGAATTTTCCCGAGATTTTTTATTATTATTTGTCAATTTTTCTGAATCTTTCGTCGTGGATTTATTCATCGTTTTTCTCAAAGTTTCCAAACAACATTTTTTATACAGTGAATAATAGCTAGTTTAAAGGAGCAGTAGACTTCTCAAATTTACAGGTGTGATTTACCTTGTAGCATTTTTATTTATTTATTTCTCAACACGTTATACTGCTCTTTCTAGCACGTTATACTGCTCTTTCTAGCACGTTATACTGTTCTTTCAGCATGCTATACCGTCTTTTCTTTCTACTGTACACTATATTGTTCTTTTCTTTTATACTGCATACTTAGTTACTTTGATATATATTATGCCTTAGTTTAGGAAAACCTAGTGGTTGTATAGGATTAACATTAAACCTAGAGGTGCTACTACGAAAAGCTTGGAGCGAACAATGTGGGCAACACGACGAGGAGCAACTTCAAGAAGGATCTACAACATCAAAACACATCACATAAACACTTTCCTTAGTTTAAATAACAACCTATAGGGCTTCGAGGTGGTTTGCCTAGTGCAGCGTAAACCCTCACATATCATCTTTTAGGCTTTTGCGTAATCCTGTTGTGCAATTATAAGTCCTAACACTTAGGATTTCGAGGTTACCGTACGGTACTATGTAAATCCTCCTATCTTTTTAGGCTATTTGTACGACCAAACATCGTGCAAATATAAGTCCTAAATTCTAAATAAGTGGCAGGATTCAATATTAAATAACATCATTTCAAAGATATAAAACCAAATCATAGGGTAGTTGGAAGGTCATCGGGGTTCTCCTTGAATCTGTGATATCCCCTACTTTTCATTCGTTTGGATTCTATAAAACAATTATTCTATAAAACAATTGTTCCTATTTTGAGTTACTCCCACTAGATTTTTCTATGTCCAATCTTGGAAACCTAAACTTTGAAATCTGGAATGTAAAACCACTGATCTTAATTGAGAGTTTTCTTAGGTGACCTCGGTCATTTAGGATGTAATTAACTATAGGGGTTTGACTTTATAGGGAACATGAAATCCAGGTAAAATAAACTCTATTTAATCTTTATATTAGGTAGGGGAAATTGTTGACAAATAAAATAGTTTAGCAGACCAAACGACTGTCATGTATTTCTTAGTTTATTTGATTGAGTCTCATCCTCAAGTCTTGTGTTTATCTTTCAAGATAGATACAAGATTTGAGATTTGAGGTATAGTGCTTTAAACTAAGTGCTCTTTCATTTAAACTATGAAAAATATGGGGTCAGTTTAATGTCATATTTTTCTAAACTTAAATATATATGTAAATTTAAAATTATACATTTTGCAAACTAGGGGGCAACTCACTTCTTAACTAAAAAATAGTGCCGACAAATTCATGCCAGGCTTAAAGTTGATTAAAAATGATTGATTTGAAAAACTAACTCATAATTTATTGATTCAAGTTTGAAACAACTCAAAAGGTAGGAAGCGTTTTGAGCTCTTTAAAAAACTAACTCATAATTTATTGATTCAAGTTTGAAACGACTCAAAAGCTAGTACAAGTTCAAAATTGTCAACTCTAATGGTGGCGAAGAATCGTTATAGTACAAGTTCAAAATAATTTTGATTATCCTATTTCGAACACACGTAGCATTTGCACAACAAAATTTGTTCAATAAGAAAGATAGGAAGGTGCAAAGTTCTTATTTTCTTTTTGACCAATGGCATCACTAGCTGAGGACATGGGTCGTCAATTATTACCTCTTTTCTAAGTTGTTAGAATTAAGTCACGAGATCTGTTCTTCATATGTGTCATCGGTAGCCCTTGACCTACACAATGCCTATCTCTACTAACTAGACCTCTAGGTTTTACTTCTGTGAAGTTATGTTAACAGTTTTAGATAATTTTCAAGTAATTAGGAGCATATTTTTAGATAGTTTTCAAATTCTTGTTCTCAGAGATTCCTGCTTAGTGGGATAAAGACTTATGTTAAAAAAGGCAGAGGCAGCCTAGAAATACTTGGCATATTATATAAAAAATGATTTTTAGAATTAAATGAAAATACGGCACTCAATAGGACCCAATGGAGAAAAAAAATTCGTGTAACCGACCCCACTTAGTGGGATAAAAGCTTGTTGTTGTTGTTGTTGTTGTTTTGTAGATCCCTGCTTAGCTTTCATTTCAGAAGCGTAATTACAGCTTCTACAATCACATTCTCTTTTGTGTGCGGATAGTTTGATGCCCTACTGAATTGCTGTTTTGTTTCCAACATCAATGAAACTTGTTTTGATTTATATTTTTGTAAAGCATAATATTTTACATTACTTCTTCTCTTTGCAAAAACAAACAGTTTTAAGCAAAAATTTAGGCTTAATTGTTTTTCCTGATATTGCTAATTAACTGTAACAACCTTTTTCAGACAGATGGTGCCGCCAGAAGGGCTTTAGCTTTAGATGGCTCTGATATGTAAGAAAACTCCCAATCAAACCCAACTGCCTCCAAACATTCATTTCTTTTATCAAGAACAAATAAAATCTGTGCTTTTAAATTTAGGGGAGGCTTTTTTCTAAAGATTCAGCCTTACAAAGCGAGCCGCAACCCAAAATCCGATTTTGCGCCGGAGATTATTGATGGATACAACCGCGTCTATGTTGGGAATTTGGCTTGGGACATAACAGAGGATGACCTGAAGCAATTCTTCTCAGATTGTAAGATCTCATCAATCAGATTCGGTACAGACAAGGAGACCGGCGACTTCAAAGGCTATGCTCACATCGAATTCGCCGACTCCGTCTCCCTCACCATCGCATTGAAGCTTGATCAGAAGTTGGTGTGCGGCCGGCCGGTCAAAGTGCGATGTGCCGTGCCGAGGAAGAGC